AACAAACATTTGTTAAATGCTGTTAAATGTATCACCATGAGTGATGCAGGTTAAGATTATAGCCACAAAAATGCTTTTAAATGCTGTAATTACTGTAATTTTCCCAATTTAATAGAATAATTTAAGTACTTTTATTTTGCGTTTGATTACTTCATTTCACACTGTGTTGCTACATTGTGAATCGTTTAAGAACCGTTGGTTCACAAATCGAGCACAAATTCAAATAAAAGTGCATATGTAAGCATCTCTCTCTGTCTGTGTAGAGTAAGGAAGTGTGTCGGCATCTCTTCCGTACGGCGGCTGAGAAACACCAGCATCTGTACAGGATGGCAATGACAGGAGGAGGAATAGACAGACACCTGTTCTGCCTCTACATTGTGTCCAAATACCTGGGAGAGGAGTCGCCTTTCCTTAAAGAGGTGTGTAACACTGGGAAGGGCTCCGCAGTTACAATATATCTGCTGAACAAGGAAGTTTAACTGTATTTTGCTTCCTTGCAGATGCACTTGCATATGTGTCATAAGTGAAAGAAACAATTGCGCAAAGGAAATTTCCTCATTCTTTCCCACATTTAGAACTTTTTTTTGCATTGTGACTTTGCGTTCATGACAGTTCTCATTACCATTAGGCAAAAAATCTCATTCTTGTTACTGAAATAATGCTTAAATAATAAAATATTCATACAATAAAAAAAAAAAAAAAGGATTTGTGTAATATTATGATGTAATATTAAATTTGTGTGTTTTTTTTCTTCAGGTGCTTTCAGAAACTTGGCGCCTCTCCACCAGTCAGACTCCTCTTCAGCAGGTGGAGCTGTTTGATTTTGTTAACCACCCTGACTACACCACCTGCGGTGGAGGATTTGGCCCGGTCAGAAATATTCATGCATATTCACGAATTTACTCTTAAACCATTGGTACTTTTTTTTTTGTGTGTGTGTGCATTTAATCTATTTTCATTTGTGTGCTCTTTGCAGGTTGCAGATGATGGTTACGGCGTGTCTTACATCATCATCGGAGAAAACATGATCAACTTGCACATTTCCTGCAAACACTCTTGTCCTCAGACTGTTAGTACACCGTGCTTTCATTAACAATTTTCCGAAACCATAGGAAAAGAAAAAAACGGCGACTAGCGAATGAATTGACAAAATGCCTTTCTGAAGTTGGTTAGAATCTAAACTAAAACCAAATGTATTAATAATATTTTTGTTAATTGAAAATAAGCTGAAATAAAATATAAATTTTATATGATAAACTTAAACTTAAATGAAAATGTGAAATATTGTCTTGGCAGCTAACTGATACTGGTACTAAAATGCCATAACATATAACAACAAAATTACTAAACCTTAAACTAAAATGAAAATGAAAACTGAAAATATAAAAATAAAATCTCATTTTAAAATATTAACAAATACTATAATAGTATATAAATAATACCATAAGTCTACTGATAGAAGCAAGAAGAAGGTTAATTGCAAAGTGTATTTAACAACGAACATTACAAATTACTAACTGAAAACTAAAACTGAAATAAAAAATAAATGAACCCTGAATATATGTATGTATATATATATATATATATATATATATATATAT